AAGGAAGGGACCTTACACTGTGTTGCCTCTCTACTCAACTGCAATTGGTTTTCCTCAGTGGCTTTCAGAAGGAAACCAGCTCCATGAGTAAGCAAGAGGGGGTTATATTGGAATGTTATACTCTAAGAGAATTACACTGGATATTAGCATATTTTCAGACTGAAAGTAGATAAACACTACAACAGGCTAAAGTTGTTGCAAGTTCTCTTTCTTGCGAAGTTTCAAGAAGTTAGCAAATTTTTCAGTGATGATGTAGGTGCACTCTGGGCAAAGAGTAGGACTACATGACCCTGGAATTCTTCTCCAGAATTTCTCTGTTTCTATGAAAGAAGCATACTTCAGGAGTATACTTTAGTCCTTGAAAGATAAAAAGGGAAGCAAAGCAGAAACTGCACTTCTGAATCATAATTCTTCCTCTGGTCTGGGCATTGATATTGTGCAATGGCCTCAGCAAGAATCGAAAACAAGAAGTATAATCTAAGCATGAATTAGCAGAGTAAATTAAAAGCAACATGTTCTTCCATTCAGTAGTTAAACATGTTCTTCTTCATATCAGATTAGACTGTAAAAGAATGAATCATACATTTGTGCCTGGAACATATACCCATAAGTGGAACATAATTTTAAAATTTGAGTCCATATCTTCTCATTTTATCTCATTTATCTTCCTAAGAGCCATGTGATGCAACAGTATCACACAGAATATCTCTGTTCACTTATTCACGATTAGTAGCTAGACCTATCTGTGCGATGACAACTCCTTTGCAGCAATACTCACATTTTGAAATTTATTTTCATTCCACAGTGATAGGAAGAGAAAACCTATTGCTACAACAGAATTATGTTGAAATGAACTGTCTGGTCAAAATGGGAAATGACAAATTGACTCTTACTTTGTATCAACAGTTCTCAAACAAGAGGTTGTGACACTTACAAGCCTTACAGAAATTCATTCACTGAAGACAAAATTTGCAGCCAGAAGAGGGGCCACAAGACAGAAATGGGGATACAGGACTAAGAACAGGACTTGTCAAATTGGAAGTGAGAAATTCAGGTTCAAGGTTCTGTCCAACTCAATATTTAAAAAACAAACCAAATTACAGGCTACTTTCCTGGGCCAACAACCTGCCTGCAAAGGCAGAACCAAAGGGGCAATTTATTTTGCATTCTCTGGTCTTTTAGTAATGATTCCATGCTTGTTGAAGCTTCAACTTTCACTTCAAAATGCAACACAACATTATTGACCACCTCTATTCTTTAACCTGAACCACCTTCTGTCATTATCATGATGTTTCACCATGACAAGATAGACCCATATGAGTGTGCAATTCATCTTACAGGATCTTAAAAGTGTTTTACAAATACGATTGATTGGCAGAATGCTCTTGTGAAACAAGACTGCAGACGCACAGACGTTTTACATGATTAGCCCAACAATGCAGAGAGAGTTCAACAGAACTTGAATTCCTGATTCTTGCCTTTTGTTCTTCCTAATAAAGCAAAGCTTTCTTCTCATTGAGAATCAGGAGAGACAAATTCACCCCCCTAAATTACACCAATAATAGTTATTTAATCTTTTCTGAGTTAAGACCATGATATTTTTTTCTGAAGAGATGTATTTTGGCTCTTTTGCTGGAAATGTATGATTGAGAGTCAGAAAGAAGGGATAAAAGAAACAGGCTAATAGAAAACAACAACAGAAAACCAAGAACGCATCTTTTTTTTTCCCCCTCGGCTTGCCTTTCATTTCACATGGACTGAACAAAAATGTAGACTATGAACTTATCTAAAAATGGATAAATATCCCCATCTAAATCATGCCAAGGAAGGAAATGCTTCACGGATACTTGAGGACAAAAGGAGAAGAAGAAACTAAAGTTATTTCTTCCCCAGTGGAGAGCTGCAAAAGATAGACTCTACAGAAACTAAATTTACAAGTTGGAAGGAAGTGGTAAAATATCATAACTGGCTTTTTTTTTTTCATTCAGTACATATCAAAATGTCCACTTCCTTAGAACAATAAACTTCTCTAGCACACCCAGTTTCCTGCTTTGGCTGCTATGTCAAATGTTACCACTATCTGCAACAGGCAGTAAGCAGTCTCAAATTGGTAACTGCAAAGGCTGCTTCTCCTGTACCTTCAGTTTGTCATTTAGGCGACAGTGTACAGAGACTGAGACAGTGAACGAGGGATTCATTTCACTGCCAGCAAGGGACCTACGAAGAACCCAAGAAATTCCACCCTGGAGCAGCCTATCAAGCACATTTCAGGCAGTTAAATATATATATATATATTAAAACAACAAAAACAAATCTATCCCACAGCCTAACCTGCAAGGTTTTCATTGAGCATCAGCCAATTAGAGAGCCCAATCTATGCCAGCCTAGAGCGGTCTTTTACTTCTCTAGTTCGTGCCATGCAGCTGCAGGATTTTTAAGCTATCCCACGAATTGCAAACATTGAAGGTGATGGGAAAACATACCCACAATAAGAACACATACTTCATTTGACTCTCGGATCAGATCAGTAATGTCCACTTTTGGGTGGTCACTCTTTGTATTGCTGAGGTTGGAGCCCTGCTGCACTGTGGGAGGCAAAGGACTGTCTTTGTTGGTGACACTGTCAAAAAACCTGCATGAAGCAAGCACAGCAAGAATTAGCAAGCCTTGGTTTATCAAAACAAAATGATCCCATCAGCGGTGAAAAGTTGGATATGCAAGAAATTCAGCATGAAGCTTAGCATGAGTAGCATGCATTTGCTGTAACACTACCAGAGAGATGCAAGTCTGGAACTGGCTGCCCAGTGAACGCTGGGGAGCCTAAAACCTTGGCAGTTTTCGAGACCCAGCTAGACAGCAACAGGGCTGATGTGATCTAGTGCTGGCAACAGTTCTTTTTACAAGCATGAACCTGGACTAGAGACTTCTGGGGACCCCGTGCAAACAAGCAGATTCACTGATCCATCTGGGAGATGAGCAATGTAGAGAGGAAAGGAGGTCTGTGCTGAACTGAGAACTAGGTTATCTTAGTTCCCTCGGGTGCACAAGCCAAGACAGGCTTCATGGCACCTACACATGCACCAAAAACCTGAACACTCCCATTATGGAGGTCATCCAATGCCTTTGCCAACACTAAGGAACAGAAAGAGCGCAATACTGGGCAATGCTGAGCTCCCCTGAGAAACAGCTTCCTTACTCTTGAGGAGAGGCAAACTATTGCTAACTAGTGCTTAAAAACATACTAGAATGCTGCTGGCAGGGTTAACTGTGCAACAGGAGTGCTACAAGCAGATAAAGTGGTGAAAGCAGGAGTTCAAAAGGAGTTCACAAGATTCTAAGAGGAAGCAGCAGAATTGTTTGGATCAAGAGAAAACTAAATTTCACTCAGAATTGTTTGGATCAAGAGAAAACTAAATTTCACTCTATTTTCATATTATAAATTTTAAGGCATGTAAACTGGGTGAAAGTGCATTTACTACTGGTATTTTTATAAATGGTAAAATCTTAAATTAGCACAATTAGATTTTACAACAAATATGTGGGTACATGATCTCTTAAAATAAAAAATACATTTTACTCAATAAGTCAGTAGCTCCTACACCATTGAAACACGCAATATTTTAAAGTCTGGCTAAAAGAAAATTCTTACTATAAGTGCACAATAATTAGAGTTTGTGACTCATATGGCACAGTCTCAGTATCATGTTTGCTATTCTAATATTCAGTGACGCACAATCACAGCAGCAGCAGAAACAACTGAGGAAGGCAGTGAAGCCAATATTGTGCACATTTCACTTGTAATGCATGCTCATGATTGTGCCCAACAGTTTTTGCCCCATATATCAGCTATTAGTAACAGAGGAGGTAGTAGCCCAAACTACAAAAACAGAATCGTGGAAGTTGTTTATTAAGCCGATGTCTAAAATGCTTGGAAAAAAAAAATCTATCATCTTCTAGATGACCTGGTCATTAAGGAAACCCTTCAATAAGTAATAATTTCAAAAAAGAAAAAAGAAAAAAAAAACAAAACAAAACAGGAGCATTTCCAGTCTTCCTTCCTGAATTTCAGGCAGATAATGAAAACCAAATTCCTCAGAAGCCTCTGGAGGTCTTGGCCAGATGTCTTCTCAGCTGCCCCCACAATGACACATCTATAGCTATATTGCCTACGGAAATAATAGTTACATTGATACCTGTTGAGGACAGTCACTGCTTCAGCATCATCCTTACAAGAAAGCAACTTTTCAATGTTGTAGTCCAGTACTGTAAGGCCGAGCTGCAAGATTGCCTTTATTCCATCATAGAAGAAACAGTCCACCACATTGACTGCACTTTCAATAGGCAGCACACTGATAAAAAGGGTAAGGAACCAGGAGAGAGAGACCGAGGAGAAAAATGTCATGTCCGTCATGTGATCTGTCAACTGAGGCAGATGAACTCTGATGAGCTCCTCAAACACTGCCTGATCTACCAAGGCACCTGCAGGGAGAGGACAACAAAACCACCACCCAGACCTTAATACAGAGAAGCACACGTTTCTCAGAATGCTGGCCAGAAATAGAAACCTTATCCTACTGCAATTTTGTTATAAAGACACAGGCCTGGCTGCAGGGCATCATCAACTTCATCCCCTGTGCTGGGAGCTGTGCACCCAATGCACGATGCAGAGCCTTGCTGCATGCTGTGAAGTATGTTGGTACTTCTGTGGGTGCATGGCTACTGCTGATGGCTCTCCTGAGAGATGATAAACCCTCTCTGCAATGAGAGACTTTTCATGTGCAATTTTCTCCTTGCATCTGCAGACACTGAGTACTGGATCAGAGATTAAGCGTGAGTCCTAGAACAGCTACTTTTCCTTTAAGTTGTCTATATTTTAAATTGTTTCGATTTCAGACAAAATTTCAAGAGTGTAATAGTCTAAAGTCCTGCATTTCCTGAGCCATTGGATCAGAGATTAAGCATGAGTCCTAGAACAGCTACTTTTCCTTTAAGCTGTCTATATTTTAAATTAATAGTTTCAATTTCAGACAAAATTTCAAGAGAAGAGTGTAATAAGTCCTCCATTTCCTGAACAGCCACCCATACAGCAATGACAATATTTGAAAGTCACATCCATTCATAGTTTAGGAGGGTCTAGGGATGTTCTGTTACTCCAATTTTCTGCTTTACAACACTGTATTATTCTCCAAAGTTTCTCTCCAATGTTCAGGCTTCAGATCACTCCTTAACACTCACTGTCAATCAATGATCATTTATATTCAATTCTAGGTAGATAAAAAGACAGAAAGATATTACCAATAATTCGGCGATTGAAATAATCAGGCAGCATTCTTTCACAGACAGCAACCAACAGCCAGAAGGCTTCCTCCTCCTTAGCATACAGCAGAAGCACTGATGTCAAAATATTCATTGCCTGCAATGGTTAACAGGAAAGGAAGCATTCACAAGAGAAGATAGCAAAAACACAACTCAAGTTTGTCAGGTGTTAGAATTTTTAAAGGACATATCTTTAGTGTGGTAGGATAAAACACAGCTGTATCCGCTATGAGATCCTACCTCAGTATCACCAAATGCAGAGCATATTATTTAAGCTACACAAAATTTTAAGTGTTAGAAGTCTAGCAGAAACAGAGAGACATAAATTCAATAGACATGGCAGCATTTAACAGCAGATTCAAGCACAAAGCAAGAGTTGATGTTATTCAGCGGGATGAAATGAGCAACGTGAGTCACAGAGCAAGAAAGCTTAAATATTTTTGTATTGATTTTATAAGGTGCCACTATACTGCTACAATGAGCTAATGTTTAGACAACACCACAAAGGGTCTCAAGATTACTGTACCTGACAATATCCAATTTGGGGATTCCTGTATGCATAAGCAGTAAGGACTCTCCTTAGTGCAGAAATTCCTGTGTCACTTTGAAAAGCAGGATGCTCAGGTAAGGAACGACGCAAATCTCGTTCAATCTCATCTGTAGCTAAAGTGCATGTTCCTAAGGACTTTTCCACCAACTCTGTGTAATAACCAGGATTGGATGCCATATCATTTACAGCACCTGCCGATACATTTGATTGCACATTATTAGAAGTCAATGCTAAAGTATCCACACGATTCTCTGCAATTTTAATAAAAACTTGGGTGACCACTGAGGTTATGGACCTCATGAATCTCCAGATATTAATGCAGTTTATATCAGAGTAATTCCACTGAAATTGATGGGACAACACCACAATAAAAAGAGAAAAGTAATATAAAATAAGGCTTGGAACAAGTCTAAATCACTTTCCATTGTAATTATCCATAATTTCTTTGCCAACACCATCCAAAAAATAGGGATATCAGTCTGATAACAGATATAAATGTCTACGTAAAGTAGTATGCTGGCAATAATCAATCCATGTTCCCATGTCCTCAAAAATAACTACGATATATAGGTGAATAGAACAGGCTAAAACATATTTGTTATGATAAACAGCTCCTTCTAGATGGACAGTAGAAAGCTCCACCCAGGGAACCAGTGAGAACAGCTAGGAGGTAACGTGGGTAGCTCCTCAAAATCTGCAGCTAATTTTCTAGGTCAGACACAGCCTTTCTATATTAAAGTACTTTAATTCCGTGGACTTCCATTTCTGCTTGGTAAGTATTCTGACACAGGCAGATTCTAAAGAAGAAAGCCACAAAAACACTCAGTACTTCATAAAGAGATTCCATATATATGATAAGTCCACAATTTCTGTAAGGCCATTCTCTGTACCAAGCAATATAGCAAAGAGACACTACTGCTGAGGCTAAATTCTCTGCCAGAAAAACACCATTTGTCTGGGAATGCTATAATATCAGAAAGCTTAAATCAAAGCATTTAAAAACAGTCCCACAAATACATTTTTATTTTAAGCAATTAGAGAAGCTTTACTGAAACTGATTGTCCCTTTGAATTTTAAGAACAGAACATGCAGTCTTATCACCATTTTTCACCTGAGTGTGCGGCAAAAACACAAATTCAAGTTTAGCTTAAATCAGTGCAGAACAGTATAATTTTATCCATTATTTTGAAGTGTTTTTGTTTAGAAATATCCAGGTGATTTACTGCAGGGCACTTTTGGGGACAGAATCCGTTCAGTCAGTATCCAGAACACTCATATAGCAGGAGTCTGCAAAGTAAATCAATTATACTTGTTACACAATACCTGAGAAGAGCAGCCAGAGTTCTCCTCTTAAGGACTCTGGAATCCCCCTTACAACTAGGTCTCGAGTCTTCTTGGTCCGAAACATACTGACACCATGTCCCCGCTCAACAAAGAGGATGTTCCAGGACTGTTCTTTCATTTTTTCTTTCAACTGTGAATAGGTAAAACAGAAGGTCAGTAAGTATGCCAGGAGATTTCTTTCATGTTTCAGAGGACAGAAACAAATTTGCTCTCTAACATTCATATAAACTGGAAATAGCAGCTGTGGTATCAATATTGGTATCTGAAAATTAAGTTGGCGCAAATCAGAGCAAAGTCTAACCGATGTATAGAATAAGCTTTGTGTATATTTACCCCAGTGTATTCTCTCATGTGACCTACTATTCTATTAAGAACATTATTGTGAGAACATCTATACCAGATTAGACAAAAGTTAAATCTATCTAGTATCCTATCTGATAGGAACCAATAGTAAGTGCCGAAGTAGAGCAAAGTCAAGTAAACATCTACTAAATACTCCTCCATCCTCTACCAAATTCAAGCTCAGAAGCTTCCTGAGCAGAGGCAATCTGTCTGAATTTAAAAGCCCTCAGCAGTTTTTGCCATAAATATCGCTTTCCTAATTCCAGAAAAACTTCCATCTTCTCAAGTCACAAACAAAATTTTCTTGATGAGTAGTAAACGAAAAGAAGGAAAAAGATGAAACTGAATGAAAGCAGTAGAAAAGAAAAACAGGAAAAATAGGAAGAGAAGGCTGAGATTGCTTGTCTGTGGTAGCAATTATCTCTGTGTTAATTTGAGAGCTTTACAAAGTCAATGCATAGCATCACACACACCTGTTTAATCATCTGGATAAATTAACATACTTTCAACATGTCTATGAACATTCTCTGGCAACAGCAACAAACATACTAGCTCTGATAAAGACGAAACAAGATATCACAGACACTCAGAAGTCAAAGCAGGTTGCTCTTCTCTTCTGATTCATGATGATATGATGCATTATATTAGTCTGACATATTTGGAACACAACGCACACAAATGGTGGAAAGCAAATACAGGGATAGGACATCATCACTGCCAGGATAGAATCAATAATCAGGAAAAACTGGTTAGATTAAAGGATACTACTGACTCAAAGTACTTATGCGCATATGGGATTTACATTTAATTATTTACCAGTAAGAAAGGACATTTTACAATCTAGCTATTTCTGTTAAAATACAAGGCTATATTGTTAAGAAAACATGCTTCCCCAGGATGAAAAGTAAAGCAAAACTGAAGTTACGAGAATTTTGGCTGAAGAATAGAAGACAATAGAGAGAGACAGTAGTGAAACAGATCCTTTGTAAGGTACAAGATTACTAATAAACTATTGTTTATGCACCTAAAAATCAATTAAATTTCTCTAAAGTAGCTGAGATGACGATTAGAGGCCCCAATCCAGGCTCCAGGTCTAAGAGACGGTAAACAATACTGCTACATTTTCTATATATGAAGCAGTAAGACTCAACATTTTTTAGATAATCTGCAAAAAAGAAAAATAGATTTTGACCATTTTTTTCAACATGCTGTAAAAAGCTGCACTAAAAAAAAGTCCCAAAAATCCACAAAGAAAGTGGGTTTATTTTCTAGCATTTCTCCTATCAAAAATTCTGCATCTGATTATACCTATTTTGCTTAAAGACTAATCTTAAAATAAAACTTTTTCACTCTCTTGCACACATCATGGAGAATCAAAATAGACCATGCTGCAAAGAGAATACATACACACACACATACACGTATATATATACACATATAAATGCATATCTCTAGAGCATAATCTCTAGAGCATGACTTGGGTAAACAGAAGTGAAGAAAGCAGCGACAAAAAAAATAAAGTCAACTGTCTGATAACATTCTTCTTGCTCCCAAAGAGTTTGTAGTGACTTTGTATCTCGATAATTCAGACTGATACAAAACACGTTCCTTATCACAAAACAAACAGCTTCTTCCCCCTGAGGGAGTGGATGAGCTGGAGGAATTTGCTCCTTGAAGATAAGGCATATCATTATTAAACACGATGAGCAGAAAATCAAATGGAGCCAAGAAGCAGCACCCTGTGGACTCAAAATACAGTGTATGCAGATGAAAGAGTATTGGCAAATCTCCAGAAGAAATCATCAGCCTTGCTGGAATACTTTTTGAATATACTTAAAGCCTTTCCATGTAGATTCCAAAAGCTGTCAGTCAGTTTATTCCTTACCATTTTAGAGTCTAGATTTTCAGCATCCTGAGGATGGTAGACAGTCATCAGGGCTTCCGTACTGACAGTTTTGCTGTTATCCCTCTGACCCGTCTTTGACTGTCCCTCATCCAAATCCATTGGATTGCCAGAGTCAGAACTAGCTGCAGTCTTAAAAAAAAAAGGAAAAAAATTTAATAATGGTAGTCATAAATGCCAAGAACTACATATAGATGTTTGATGGCACTTCAAATCCAGTGTTATAGAACCTGAATTGCTTTGCAAAACATGATAGAAAATACAGTTAAATAACCTGAAACATTAAGCATTCGCAGTGGCTTTATGGGTCACTCTGTTCCCTTTTATGTGGGAATAGTCTTTTATTTTTCCACACCTTAAAAACAGAGCTACACACTCAGCAGAGGTTGTCAAAATAATGCAGATATAACCCAAGCAAGGGCAGTCTAAAGCTGAACGCCCTTGAGCAGCAGACCTTATCACTCAGGTCTCCCAGCGCTGGGCTGTACTCAGCTACATATGATTTCACACCAGATTGGTGAACTTTGTTCTAAATGTGAAGGACCTGAAAGTAAGAGATGGCAACATGATTTAAAAAACAAACAAACAAAAAAAGTAACACTGAAATTGAGGTAATAACCTCAAATCTAGAGGGGTAGCAGACATTGTTGCTCATCCTTCACCTAGATTCAAGCTTGAAAAAATAAAATAAAATAAAATAAACTCTTAGTAAGACTAGACAACCTCTTTCTAAAAATAGGTAGTAAGAAATCAGAATTAGCTAAGCAGTTACCTCCGTATTTACGATGCGCTGTGGACTTGAAGCTGCACCACATTTGATTCTGAGCTTTGCCACAAGCTGTTCAAAATCTCTAACCTCAGTAAAACGAAAAGCTGTTTTTCCTTTGGTACTAATGCTGACTCCCCTGTTGGTTGGATCTGCCTTATCCACTCCCACAACCTAGGGAAGCAAGGATACGAAGTCAAGCAATCCCACTCAGCCAAGTTATCCGCTTGCTTCCAAAAGAGAAAAAGGGTTAAAAATACATGTATATGTGAAACAGTACTACAAAGTATAACGCAAGCAGAATTAATAATGCAGGTGACTTAAATTTACCACTTTTAATCACCATAATCTGCAGCTATTTTAGCACAAGGTAATAAATATTATGGGATAGATTTTTCAGTTCCTAGCTTTAAGTGATGAGCTTGCTTGAAAATCCTGCATCCTCCTACATGCTGAAGCTGTTACTTTTTTTCTTATCATATAAGAACAGACAACATACGGCTCCTGCAGGTAACCAAGTGAAGCAAGTTTTGCAGGAATTAATTTCCACAGAGAATACTCTTTCAAAGACAGCTGTCAACACATGACAGCTGGAACTGATTTTAAGTGTCATGATGGAACAGTTACAGATTAGTTAATATACTTTATTAATGTAAGTACTTTTGGGGAAATAAACTCATAAGAAAGTCACAGATACATAGACTGACTGCCTTTGCTGCTGCTTTTACATTGCTATAGGCAAAGAATAAAAGATTACTGAAGCGAAATAAGTCTGCAGTACTGTAGAATGAATAGTGATGGCCTGACAACCCCCAAGGGAGAATTTAGAGTCAATTCATTTAACAAAACCTCTCTTGTTGCTTATCACAGCTTACGGAAATAACTGTTGCTTCCAGGTCTACAAATAGATAACTAAATAAACTGCACTGTCTGGGTGGGGAACACCAAATATATCGCTGAAATTAACTCAATTACACCAGAAATTAATCTGAATTGATAACAGTAATTCTAAAATTCTGTTTAAAGAAATAACTAATTTAAGATAAGAAAAAGAAAAGTCAATTTTGAGGCAGGGCTACCTGCTATAGCTACAATGACATACAACAGTAAATCATACCCAGTGAGAATTCACCCCACTGTGTCAGATATCGTTTATGTCTACGCCAGGTAGTAGGCACAGACCTTTTGTACAGACTACAGAACCTGGTAATTTCTGCACTGTTTTAAAACATGTCCAGGTGGTACTGAAATGTCTGTAACATTGAAAGACTGAAATGCAGCAATGTCCACAGATCACATGCAGTCAAGACAAGGTTTTCTTTTCTAAAACTTACACCACATGCTAAGTACAGTACCCTGTAGACCTATGAATGAATGATGTGTCATTTACGTTATGGTCCCTGTTTTATCCGTTGTGAATGTCAGCTGTGATGGCATAAATGACATTGATATTTGTCCTTTTCAAACTGTCAGTGCATTTCCCCATAGACCTTTAAACAGACGGAACTGCTCAACTACTGAAAAGAGAAGACTTGAGCTAGTGAGCTAAGGAAGAAAGATGGCAAACCAGTCACCAGCCTTCAGCATCCTCTACCCTCTCCAATTCTTTACTTTTAGCATAAAAAACTTTCATTAACTCAAATTCAACAATCATTGTATAAGCTGGTTTAAAACAAAAGTTTATAGAGGGTATAGGGAAAAAAAAAGAGGAAACAGGAAAACAATTCTGTAAGTCACAGAATTCCTACATGCATTATGCAAGAAAGGATAAATGTACAACATCAAGCAAAATAAACAGATTCTAATGAAAACCTGTAGTGAGAAAAATAAATTATTACCCCTGCATTAAATGACACAAGTACAAAACTCTCAGTAGAATTAGCTTTGTCTGCAGTTTGCATTACCTCTCTTAATGGAATGATCACACTGCACGAGCTGCCATCCTGGCTAGCAAAGCAGATGTAGTTTTCTGAAATGCACATTTTCCCATGGGTGTTGAAATGACTGAAAGGAACCCATAAGAAGCACTCATGAACTTCCTTCAGAGTCTCTTCTTTGGGCAGCCTGAAGAACGCGCTAAACTGCTCACTGTGGGCACGGCTCTCCAGACCTCTAGATTAGAAAAATGAATAAATGTAATAAAGAGAAAAACAAGAGACATTTAAAATTTCTTTATGTACATGAAAGTCAAAACGCCTTGGGAAAAGCTTAGTTTAGTAACATGTACTACATCACACTGTACCATAATTTGTGGGCTGATGTAGACAGGTGCCACTTGAATGCAAGTTCAACCTTTTGTTCTAACAGGCAAGAGAGTGCACGACCAGATCTATAGACACCCACATAACAAAACAGCTAAATACTTCACTAAATATTAAGAGATTTAAGCATGCTCTTAAGTAGATGTCTCCTTTACAATGTGCTTAACCTCATTAACTTAAAGATCATTTCTGACAGAGTGAAGCACTTCAGTGAATCATGACCTAAGTAATGGAGAAAAAAAATACTAATAGTCCAATCTGCTCTGCTTCCCAACCCATCAAAATATCACATTTAAACTTAAAACAAGTTTTGGGTTGACAGAGAGTTAATTAGCTAGAAATGCCACACATGTTGGAAACATCTGCCATGGGATAATTCCTCACAGATAACTGCAACCAGAAACAATGTTTTGGCAGAACAGCAACATCCATCTCCAGCATTGCTACCAGGCTGAAATATCAACTATCCAGAAAATATAGCCTAAAACAAGTTCAATTATCAGTGTAATAAACGATTAAAAAGCATTTTTTTTTAAATCATGGGTGTAAGAATCTATAACTAAAAACTAATAAAATGAAGTTACCAGAAAAAAAAGAGTCAGATTAATAAGATTAATACTGAAATGTATTAGAAAATGCTTCATCATGCTTCATTAAAAAAAATGCTTCATCACCTTTTCTGATTTGCAGATAGACAGTGTGCCTCCAACAGACGCAGGCCCCTTTCTGTGAATTTGAATTACCTGACAATAGATTTACTTTTCTTGGTTACTTTTTCACGGTGCTAGCTGTGGTCCATAGGTCCACAGATCAAAATTTGAAATTTCAAAATGCCTAAGGAAAAGGTAACATTTGCCTCAACAGATAAGAGTTGAAGAGGAACCATAAATTTATCACAAGAAATAACCACACACTGACTGAGAAGGGAACACTTTAACCAACAGCCTTTTTACAAGCACATCTTTTACACAGTACCAAATACTTCCCCAGTTAAAGAAAGCCAAGCACCAATCTGCAACTCAGTGATTTTACCATTGATCTACAGTGCTGGGGAAAAAAAAAAAAAATCACACAGTATTTACCTGTACATATGTACTGAATTACTTATACTGAACATCAGGTCTCTCTTTGGAGACCCCGCAGGTCAATTCTTCATTTTTTTTACATCTACCTGATGCTAAAATACCTTTTAGAAATGCAAACTACTATATTCCCTAAGCTGAAACCTAGTGCTGAAGGTGTGATCAAATCCTGCCTTCATATAGGCTTTTTATACTACAAAGTAACAATAAACTATAATACCTCATATTTTTTTGAACTCAAATTTTACTAAGTTATGCTTAAGAGAACACCAGCTTTGTAGGCATCTGTGTATCTCCTTGGGACAAAGACTTCCTTTACTTGCCAAAAAAAGTACTGAGCAAAGGGCAGCCAGACTACAAATAACACATTACCTCTTGGTGATCTGCAAAGGGTCATGAAGGACTAGGTCATTTTCAAATGTCTCTTTGTCAAAAAGCCTCCTAACAGCATAGTTTGCAAGCTGTTCCATGAGAAGAAACGTTTCATTAATGTGCAAAAACATGGAAAAGTAGTGATCTTCCCCACGGGAACACACATGAATGCTCTCTGTCAGAATCACATTGGAAGTCTTCTCAAGCTTTGATATTTCATCCCATGAGATAATGAGTTTTACTGAAAATAGGAATATAAGCAGATGTGAGTAACTTCTCTTTAGGTGCTTACTCTCATATTAGGCAAAGAAAAGCAGTAGACAGCAGAACTAAATAACATATAATTAAACAGTACAGTTACATCATAACCAATTTGGAAAGGGCTACAATCCACAAACAACAAAAGCAAAGACTCTTCATAATTCCTCTGAAATAATTCTGCTAGCTAGAATTTTATAGAAAGAAATACATCAAAGACACACCAGGAATGAAAATAAAACGTTACATCTTCTATTCTTTGATGCAATGTGAAACTGCAAATTACAGATAGCATCATGTAAGCTATCCTATTCTAACAGTTTACCAACAGATGTTCTTGAAGTAAATTGATCATTTATTGTATATTTAGAGAGGCCTCTTTGCCGTTACAAATGAGAAGTAGTTGCATGTATCTGCTCAGAAAGCATCCTACACTTTCTTAGTATTTTCTAGTTTTTTTATTATATATAGTTATTGCTCACACACATTTGTTTGGGTAGGTCAAACTAATATCACATAGAAAAAGAAGGTGAAAGTATTACTGGCATAGAGTATGTCCAGAGAAAAAATAAGCAAATCTTTTTGTATGAAGAAATAACTGTAATTTCACAGGCTGAATTCACCTGCAGCATGGACCACAGATGAAGACTTTTATTTACAGTTAACTGCAACAGCTCTGCCTTCTCTATGAAGCTTATATAGAGAAAGAAACCTAAATGACGCTGTGTTTTAAGTTTTCCAAATGCATTTATTTCCATACAGCATTTCTGCTTTGCTTTATTTTTCTGTCTTGTGTTGAAATCTGCTCATATATGTAATAAGGCAGGGCATAGGAAGAATTCTGTCAAATCTGAAAGACACATAATAAAAATCAGGCTTACTTACTTTCTGCTCCCAACAAAAATGAGTAAAAGCTAAGAAAGTTGGTACTAAGATAAAGCCATCCTTGACAAGGCACTCTGCCCCTCCAGTAACTGCATGAGTAATAGGTAACCAACTTCTCTTGCTCCGGTAATCCAAAACACTTTTCAAATTTCATAAGACCTTCACGAAACTTCTCAGGATCTTCTTCCTTTACAAAAGAACCTTTTCCCTCTTCAGCAATCAAACCCTAAAACAAAAGAACTAGTTAGTTATAGAAGAGTCCTTGTGGGAAGGTGTCATATGTGCAGATGCATACATATAACACAGCATTCTCCTAGCAGGACAAGTTTCTAAACAAGAGTAGTAGTCTGATGACCAAAACACAGAACCGTTACAAATAATCTGTGCTATTTCTAGGTCTCCACACAACCCTGGATGGACACTCACCTTTAGGCCTCCCATATAACCTTAAGCAAGACACATATCCTCAGGTTTCTTCATCTGAAAACAAGAGTATTTTCCTCACTTTTTTCACAAGGATTCCTAAATATCTGTTTATATAAAAACCTTCTCAAAACCTGTATATGCTTACTAGGCAGTATCAACATAAACTGAAATATTTTATCTTCAGTTTTAAACCACTATTTAAACTCATCTGAATAATATTGTCCTTTGGTATTCTAAAGGGGCCATATTATTAAAGTACACTAAAGGAAAAACCAGTTTGGCCTCTGCAAGTTATGCCTGTTACTTACTCTTATCTTTCCCTGGACAAAGCTTGTAATATCCTCATTTGAATCAAAAACAGATAAAGTGCTCATAACATTGTGTTCCAACCAGTTCCAGTGTTCTGTTATTTCTTCTCTGCTGGCTCCTGTTTGAAAGGACAAGTTAATAGTACTTAAAATTAAAATGGATTTTAAACATAATGTTTCACAAGAAAGCATAGCTGCATCTCATGTGGAAAATACACATCCAATTTAATTCCTAATTCCAGAAGAAAAAAGAAACACTGATTTATAAAAGCTTGATCCTTGAAATAACTTTTGACACCTCCAGAATTAGTACTATTTTCTTCTGGATTCTCTGGAACCCCAACTATGGGAATAAAGAATGTTTCCTTCCACTTCTTTACATACATGCAAGAGGAGGAATATCTCAGAAATCCTGCTATCAATAACCTCAAGGAATGTATGAAACACACAGCCAAGGTAAATTCAGTGATCCAAAATATAAAAACTGCTTCTAAAATGTTAGAGACAAATCAAGCTTTTTACTTTATTCACCTTACAGTGCTTTCAATCTCAGTTTCACAGAGCAATCACCAACTGCGTACCAAATGTCACTGCAACTTCATAGCAAAGAAAATCCTAACTCATTTGAGCTTTTGAGAAACATATTTAGATTAGTATTTTACTTCAAATGCAAAAGAAATCTCTTACTAGCTGCTACTTCTAATCAGTAAAATGCGGTAGGCCAACTGTTACGATAATTCTGCTTATCTTTTTCATATACTAAGTTACAAAGCATGCCAGTAGTAACAGATAATAAAGCAGAGATGATACAAGTAAAACAACAACAGTAAAGAGCCAGCAAATTTAATACTGAGTCAGTTCTTTAAAGATAGGCGGTTTTCTCCAACCCATCCGACAGTGGGGGAGAGGGAGAAGGAAAGGGAGGGAAAAGATTTATCACTGTTAGGGATTCTAGAGCACAAATTAGTTGGTGGTTTCATCCTCCACAGGAATGTTCACAAACAAACTGTCAAGATTACACACCATCAGTCCTCCTGAAGGACACAACATCAACAATTACTTCTTTCTCATATTACTTTGTAAAGACTAATTAAACAGCTTCCACCAGACTCAAGAGAATTAAAATTGCCTTGGGAATGAACAGAAATTGTTCTAAACATCATTAAATATTTAGACTACACTATATATGGCAAATTTGCAATGGCACTTCAAAAATGATATAAAGAGTAATTAATACAGCAATGAAATTACAAACTAATTCTTTTCTCAGACTGTACACAGAAGACAATCCTTTGAGTCATGGTAAGAATCTAAGCCACAGATGTGACACTGTCAGGGTGATTTTTTTTTGGTAAGTACTTAAAAAATTAGGAACACTGTCATTATTAATAATACTAACCTAAAAGCATTTTTCTAATAAGAACTTGTATCTGGGACTGCTGAAAAAAAAGAAAAAAAAACTGATAGGAGAAATTACACTATCAGAAATAGTTTTGAATCCTGTTTCAGAACACCTAGTTCACCTTTTAAATTTATTCTGCTGTACTTACGTATTCTGTAATGTGCTTCATTGCTTTGGAAACACACTGTATATGATTTTCAAGAGCCACCTGGATGAGGAATAAATTCCTAAATCAAGTATCCTTTTCGGAATCAGCCACCCTCCACTAATTTCTTTGGGCACTTTGCATAAATTTCAGCACTCCCTCTAGAATTCCTCCTTCAGAAACTCAAGAATTGCTGTCCTGGAATATGAATCAGCCAACATTTTTCAGCCACATGTACAGCAGCTGCCAGGTAACATTGCCAGACAGGTTTACTATACTGTTGTGGATAGGTCAGGAAAAAAGCAGCTTCTACAATTTTCTCTGCTAGATTTGATTTCCTGAAACATAATTTTAATATCATAATACCCCAAAAAAGGCATTCCAAGTTATAGTACTAATAAAAGAACCTACTTTTCAGGCTATGGCACTGCCATGGTGTAAGTCTTGAGAACACAAGACCATGGCTAATGCCTTGTTTTCTCACATAAAGCCTGTAAAATAAACTGGTTCTCTGCATCGCCATGGCAAACCCTACCTTTTGAGGCAAGGGTCATCACAAGCTCTGCAGGAATAAGAATGTAATCAGAATCACACAAGAACAATCTATAGTCATCATTAGCTATCAGAAATAATTTATGCATGCTGTCAGTCTAATGCATAAATATCAGTCTGGAACACTGGACCATAAGACTATATCAATTAATTTCAATATGAAGACAAGAACATGTCTAGGAAGCTGTAAGCAGTGAATAGAACATTCCTCTTAAATTTTGGAATAGAGGTATCTCTGGATACACCCAGTAGGTAAGCAGCCTGTAGAACGGAAATAGATTTTATTCTCAGGTAAAGCTGCAAAACTTTTATATAAATAAATAAAAATAAGTTAAGTAATTAAAATTCACATTATCCAAAAGCATTCATTAAGGAAAACAAAAAACACATACTCTGAAGGTCAATTTTCTTTTCCACTTTCTACTGTTCAATAATACAACATGAGAAAAGGGAAAAACATATTATCCTATAAAAGAGAGAGATCTTAATTCAACTCTTCCCACGACTGGGAGAAGTAGCAATGACAAAGTAGATTTAAAAAAAAAAAAAAAAAGATAAACAGCTCCTGCTTATTCCTATACACAGTATATGCTCAGCACTCCCGAAGGCCAAATTTTACACATCATCCTGAACTCTGCCAAGTTACAGGGGTTATTTATAGGTTACAAAGGAAAAGATTGTACCACTGTTGTTCCAACAGAATAGTGTTCTAAGACACTTAAAGGACTGCCAGAAAAAGCAGGCAATCTTGAATACAAAGAGTCCATAGATATACCCTGAGAATTTAGAACCATATATTGCTGCCAACCACAGGTTGTAATCTCAGGAGTATCATTACCAAATTATCAAATAAATTTAAACCATTTAGAAGTCACTGGAGTGAATAATGATAAGATTACTCTAACCCAAATGTTAATACCTTTCTTCGTACCTTGACTAAACAATTTTTCACTTTATAAACTCGCTTAACTTCTAAATAATAATACATACCACAAGCAATGGACCAGTAAACTTGAGAATCTGGTGTCTGATGCAGAATGCGAAATGGGGCCACTTTTGATGTAGAATCCAACACTGCATCTAGGGTTCCCACAAGAAGACCTGTTGCATTTTAAAAATAAAATGTATACAGCATAGTGAAACTAAGGTTTTGAAACGTACATTTGCCTTCTAATTCCTTACTTATCAAATAGGAATGCTCCCAGAGTAGAGACTTACTCCCTCATGATCTCTGAGAAACTAAGAAACACAAATGAAGAAAGCAAAATGTGCTCCCAGAGGGACCTTTTGGGGAGGTGATACCATTCTGAACTGGTGAAAGCCATTAACACAACCTGAGGATCAGGAAGGTTTTGAGACACCCATGAAAGTGATACCAATGCAGACTCCAAGCTAAAAAGTAATGTGATAGCTCTAAGCCTTTAAAGAGCTCACGCAGCATTTAAACCTATTAATTCATACATTGTCTTCCTTTCCAGTCAAAGGAAAACACAATTTCATTATGACTGCTTTATAAAAATACCTTGCATTGTTTTCAAATAAGAACAGCATATCATACTTTCTGCACATATACCCATTTTGCAGCTCATTCTCTGTATATGCACTCAATATGGTAAGTATAGAGTTATAAAAAGTCTGCAATTCTCTACAAATAGTTTATCAGATAACTTACATATGCAGTATGGAACACTAATATTTCACCCTACTATCACATGCATAATATAAAGTGCATTATTATTTATTAGTAATTAGTATTAGTATTTATTATACAGCCAAGATATATAGGTGAGTACCTACATGACTCACCTTCTTGCCAATAGATCCTGAATTAACTCCTAATATGCAGAACATGATTTTCCTATGGATACACTTACAACACGGAACCTCTGTGACTTATCTTACTGTGGCTATTCAAGTATCATAGTGATTTTGCTTTATTTTAAAATAATGGAAATGACTAATAATACAAAACACACACATACAAAAAAAAAACAAAGACAAGTAAATCACATGAATCAAAAATATTATCTTGTGTTGTCTGCAACCCATAGATTTTAAGCAACCACAAACATCATATCCTCTTACAAAGTAGATTTTTTTATATAGTTTATAATTGAAAACAGACACTGAATAGATAACATAACATTTATGTCTGCTTAAGGCGCTTTGATTTACTGAGTGAGTCATAACACTGAGCTCATCTCCAAGTTGGCTTTGTTTTAGCAGATGTTTTATTATCTCTCTCACCAGTCTCTTAATACCATTTTCTGTTATGATACATGGTACAAGGACATTAGGCACCATTTATGAGGTTGGTACAATGGCTAAGCCTGAAGAGATGATTAGGACACTGCATTAGAAAGCAGCACTCCTCAAAATACCAGAACAGTGTCTGTCCATTTGGAAGGTCATAAGATTTTAGACACAATAAACTGTGGCAGGTTAATACGAGTCACTTCAACAGTTCTCCAGTGAATACTACCTTGTCCAGGAATGTCATAAAGACTACAGGTTTGCACTTAAAGTAATAGATATTCACTACATTACTGATTACTTGCAGTTATGCCAGTTACCAAATCTGTGAAATTCATAGTTCATAGAGTTACATATTCTTACTCTGGTGCTGAAGTGCTCTAACTCCTAGGTGTAAATTTTTGGAATATTGTATTATCAGGGAGGGTTTCCATAACTACAAGTCGTTCAGAGAATCTCAGCAAGCACTCCCTTTTATCGCTATATCCTAATGGGAAATCAGAATCGTATTCGCCCAGGGAGTTGTGACCAACGCTAAGAGCTTTACTGGCACCCTGCTAATTCCATTCACACATGTCTGCTAATAAATGATTCATACCCAGGGTTACCAACAAGAAAGGTTTAAAACCCACCTGTCTAATTACAAGGATATTAACTGTATAACACAAGAGTAGGGAACAAGAGGACCAGAAACTAGTATTATTCAAGAATTATACATATACTCATTAACAAAGCTAATTCAAACCAGCTTTATTCACCTTACATATGACAAACTCTATGATTTGTTGAACAGCCATTGGTTTTAAAAATATAATAAATTCCTTATTATGCGTTACTCATTTCTGGCCAAAAAATCAAGCATCAGAGCAGCCTACCCTAAATGACTCCCAGTAGTCTGAAATGCATCCAGCCAATGGCTACAGCTGGTAATGTTAATAATTTCCTACGAGCAAGAAATAATACAGAAGAATGGTGCAGCATTCCCATATTAAATGAAAGGTTTATAGTCAATCACAATGTAAGTGTTTGGGTAAATTAAGTACATAAGGTCATGGTTAAGTTTCACAGACATCATAGCTCCTGCTTCTTTCTGCTTCTGTTCAGCACAGATGCAGACTTCAGTACCAAATCCTAGCTAATACAGAGGTGACAAGAACTCCTGCAATGCAATGTCACCTCCAAGGGCCCAGTCATAGCCCTTTAATCTCCAGCCCACCGGTCTATTTGCAGAGATACAGAGCCCTGTCTGCTCCTGGCAGAAGGTACAAACATGGTGAAGCTTGCAAGGCTGTCAGAGATTCCAGTACTTTTAATGAGTATTTCTAAAGCAAGCCCCACTGCTGGGACAGTGCTATAGACTGTACTGGTAACTGAAGAGAACGGTGGAGCGCAAGTCATGCGCCTTCAACCTTGCATCCAATCCAACTACTTTTCCAGCTTCCATTTCTTCAGCAAACCATAACACCTCCCACAACTGTTGGTAGTTTGACTTCACACCTCCAAGGGTGCTGAGCTCCTACGTGCTGAAAATGCGCTCAGTGCTGTGATTCAGGAAGTTAAAAATTATATCCTGTAAATTATGCCCTAGTCATTTTCCCACCTTCCATCTCTAGTTGTAAATATGCTTCATAACAGTGTGGCATTATTTGTCTCGCAAACAGATTCACTGCAAAGTAATCTTTGCTCCAGCTGAAGAAATAGGCAGCACAGATCTTTCCAGACCTTTACACATACATCAAGCAGGTTTACCTTTCAATTCCCATCACAGTTGGGAATCGGCTACAAGGAAGTCCCAGAAAAAGCTGCAGGTATAAATGGTTTCTGCTATTTATGTTATTACTGTATATTTAGCAAAACGGCAGCATAGACCTTTTTGTTTTGAAAAGTAAGCACCTTTTTCGTTTGTTTTTGTTGTTGCACACTGAGCCAAGTTATAGCCCGAGTCGCACCTCCTGTCTTGCTGTTCCTACTAAAAGAAATTTAACTAGGTTTGTAGAAAATCACCAAGTGCTTATTAATGAGTCCAGTGTGAAATTCCATAAGGGACACGCTCACCACCATCGATATCCATTTCTTGATACCACTTTAACACGACGCCTTGGATAGACACTAGATAAGGAAAATTTTCCTCCGAGAACACATGCAGAGTCTCCCTCCCACCTCCTGTTTGGGAGCTAGGGATGATGCAGATGAGAAGCTGTATCTTTTAAAGAGCAGCTGCACCAGCAGGGTCTTGTGCTGATTCGGGACTGCAATAATTGACACAAGGAATCCAGAACTGAAGAGTCAGGACTTTTCCCTGCTTGAGGAACAACCTTTTTTCCGCAATCATGGAACATACAGCAAGCTGGGAAGACTAATTGCAACCATGTATTTAATCAATAAACTTGTACCTCTCACAGGTCCATTTTACTGAAATTTCTCAAGCAGAAAGAGACAAAAGAAAACAATAGAAGCAGAAAACAAAGAACTTGCTTTCTGATGCTTCAGTGAAAGATCAATGTTTTGTGACAGCAAATACTCATTTATATAACTACTCCAGGAATAACTGTTTTCTAATTAAGCTTCTGTCTAAGTGGTAACCAAAGCAACATTTTTGTGGCCAACATGCTTCACCTCACTGTAACCATCTCTTGGTTACAGCACATGTATTCTTAATGCAGGTATTAAGTCATCATATCTATGCTTTGGCACGCAGGCCATTCTGCCTAGCCACAACTTTATCAATGCACTGTGAGAAACCGAAGTAGTTCTCCCATAGTGCCTCTGCAGAAGACAAAATGACCAGAGAGGACTTGGTCACAAGACAGTCCTGCCAGACAGTACAGCAGCTATTTTGGGATAGTCTACTGCACACTGAATTATCAGGAAGTAGAACTGGTCAAACAGGTTAAACTATCCGTAACGTTAGGTAAGGTCTAAGAAAGAAAAGAAGATGAAATGTAAAGCTAAGCAGGTGCATATGTGAAGGAGACTCTAAGCAAGAATAGCACAAAATACTTTTATTCATGACACTTGTCAACTAGTAATTATTCTATGTGTGGGCACAAGCCACAGAAGCTAACTATCACCCAAGGATCACAAACTGATCCTGCTGTAACAGTCAGACGAGAAGGGTCACCTACCCAAATCTAAGTAGGGCTTTCCTTGTAAGTCTGATACAGCCCAAGAATTCCTAGCCTTCCTTCAGGTAAGTGTCATTGCTGTCATCTATTCCCTTCTCATTAGTCTGCACCTTTCTTCTGCTACCAGCTGCTTCCTCACACCACACTCTTCTCCCCTCCTTACGCTCTAAATTGTGTGGGCTGCAGCATTCCTGGGAATCCCTGGCTACAGCCGCCTCAGCTTGTCCCCATTACCTGTTTCCAAGCCCTGCAGCACTGGGTATCTCCTCTTCCACTCCTATCCTGCAGCTCAACCTCTCCCTTCCCTCCAGCGCGTTGGCACTGCTGCTGTCACCTCACACCTTATGTCTCATTTGCTGGGAAATGCTGCTCAGGGGAAACGGAACAAAATTTCCCTTGGCACATTCGAGGTGATCTCATACCACAATAGCTATATTATTCATTGTTCTAATGAATAATGAGCTTTAATCTTCTTGAATGACGTGTAGCAATATAACATTAAAATCAGACAATGGCAAATTATGTTATACCTAGGAGGCTTGCATATTTTCATACCTACAAACACAGATTTAACTACATTATTCTGCAATGCTCTTCTTAATTCTTCTTATTCGCAGTTCTAATTCAACAGCACTTCACTATTTTAGTTTCTTGAAAAATTTAACTTGCACAGACAGAATCTGTATAAAACTAATACTATGAAAAAAAAAGAAATAAAATGTG